TCTTGGCTTCTGGCAGCTACATATACCTTGGCATTGTGGGTCAACAAGACCTTCCATTCTAGGGTCAGCAGCATGAAGTATCTAGTGTCCACCCCTCGCAACTTACCTTCGCTGTCTCTTTGCCAATCCCAGTATTGGCTCCAGTAACGATCATGACCTTCCCCGTCAGGTCGGGGATGTCTTCGACGTGAAAATTCGACTTGGACGGGAATGATTGACCCAGTACAGACAGGTGATTGCCCATGGCGGCCGCAGAAAGTGTTCAAAGTGATGATGTAGCCTCTGTGACGACGGCCCAAGTACTTATAACATAGCCTGTGTGATGACTTCCACGCTGGTGAGAGACCATCATGATAGATATGAGCATCGGGTAGGCCATTCGACATTCACTCATGGTTGGACCATTCGACGTCAGTCTTGACTGGTCATAGACAAGTGGTTACTACAACAGCTTAGAAATCTGTTGCTCTTGGATATGTACAGTAGGCGCAGGTTCTAAACCTGCCAATAAGAGCTTTTTCTGTGCAGGCACACCTTCTACTCCGCTTATGGGTAGATCGATCCTCACCGCCTGTTTTAACTGGTCTTAACCAAGTGGTTACCGCAACAGAGTAGAAATCCGTTTACGGCCACACAGATTCGAAACCTGTCAGAGACAGTATTTTTATGACTGGAAGGCAATCAGAAGGTCTGTCTTTTCCTGCCATACTCCGTGAACACTCGCGCACGGATATATTCTCAATGGTCAATAACAAGGAATCCACCTTTGGGTCTCACGAGGATACTGCGATGTTAGAACCATGTGTTGAACTCCGAGAGATCCAGGACGATGAAGACCGATAGATCCGAAATAGGAACAGAGAGTGAGTGAGGGGTACGAGCACAAGCCAAAAATGGACAAGGGCGAGCGACGCTTTGACATCGGCTCGCGTCCTCTAATATTTTATGTTTCTCTTTCATATGTTATAGCCGTCGACAAATCTACCTTAAAAGCGCCAGTAGTAGCGCACGAACATCTCAGTTGTTTCCAAGACAATGAGATGTATACGCCACCTAAGGAGTTGGGCATTAGTATCGCAATGCACAAACTAATGTTAGCTGAAGCGCCAATAGGGTCAGATACAAAACGCCTTTCTAAGTAACATCACCCACACAATTCAACGCGCCTGGGTCCGACGGAAATAAATGAACATCGGTGGCATCTACATGGCCAGGCGCGGGTGCAGACAAGCTGTAATTCAAAATGCCACCTTCAGCAGCCGTATCCTCCGACTGAGGGCGTGGCTGTCTCCATTAATGGCAGGTCCATCTACCAGACATCAACCCCCCAGCGATCCGGACTGTTCAGAAACCACGACGCCAAATTCACGCGTGGTCACTTTAAATGTTTGTGAAGGAAGATAGAATGGTAAGCAATATCTGTGACTAGGGGTCCTGGGCGGTTTCCCGTGTACCGCCGCCGGGGCACATAAGCATACATCTTGCGCACCGTTTGACTGGGTATCGGGCATCGGCGGGACAGGCACGTTCGAGTGATAGTTGGCTGGGGCGGGGCGGATTTATACTCTGTTAGGTACATGTCAATGGGAGTAGTTAGCACAATTTCAAGTATGATGTCATTGAGGACGGCAGTAACTACGGGAGTCAGGACAGCGGAGTGAAGGTACATGGATGATGTGCGGTCTGTCTATCGTAAAATGACGATTGAGACTAAGTCAGGCTGATAGAATGCAACCTGTGATCAGAAATGAGGTTTAGCGCTTCAGCTGCACAGCACGTGTCATAAGCTGAGAAGCGAACGAGGATGATGAGGCATGCAAAACGTACCAGCTCAAATTGTCAGTGCAATCTTAACCTATACACTCATCGTGTCTTCGTGTAAAGACGTCGTGACCTGCTGAGAAACATATGATCGTAAGTAATGAATTTGAACTGTCGGCGCCGGATTTGTTGACATCGGAGGGACGGATGACAATAAGACGGGGATCGTAAGTGTTTACAATGTATTCCTTGACGGTGACGATGTTGTGTTCAGATGTGCAGATATCGAAAGGATGGGTGACGACGGGCAACCATGCCTGTTAACAATAATGAGCAAAAAATTGGACGTTCCGTACCACCAGGGACCCACCCTTGTTTCAATCTAACAGAAGACCAACTTTGGCAGCTCCCGCGTATCATATCCTCCAACTGAGGTGTCATTGTCTCCAAACCTCTATATATCAACCTTCAGCGATGTGGGCCTTTCAGATGCTACGGTGTCTTCTGAGGGTGGAGATCTCCTTAGCTGCTTTGCTGCTCTACGGGAGTGGTTGTAATCCGGCAACAAGGCTACAACGCCATATTCGCATGTGACGACTTCGTGCCAAGGTTTGTGAAGAAAGATGAAACAGTGAGTTGTACCAGTGAGATTTGGTAAAGTTCTGGTGGTTTCCAGGGTACCGATACACAGGAATATGTGTCCTACGCAGATAATCATCGGGCGTCGGCGAGATGATGGACACCTTCAGGGAGTAGTTGGATGGAGAGGCAGTTTAAGACGTTGTTGACGAAGATAGCAGAATGAAGTTGTGTTGGGCAAGGTTGTAGCAGGGCATATGATTAGTGTGCGGTAACTGAAGATCGCGACTCAAGGAATGCGACTCGTGACCAGAAACGAAGCTTGGGCACTTCAGTTGCACAGCCTACGCTAGAAGCTGTAAAGTGAACATGCATGTAAAACGTACCAGCTCGACCTTCCTGTGCTCTTTTGACCTAAACGCCTTTTGTGTCTTGGTGTCAATTCGTTGGGAGCAGCTGAGGACCGCATTGTTGTCAGTGATGATTTTGCACTTTGTTGTTGGATGGAAGTTGAGACGGAGCTGCACCCAATAGTTGATTATGTCTTCACCCACCGTCGGAAAGCAGAAAATATCAGTGATAATGCCCCACCAGAAATGTGAAGGACACACCGATGTGGTCCTAAGCGCCATACATCTGCCAGGCGGACAATGGATGATGACATGTTCAGTTGACGGTTCGCTGCGGGTATGGAACTTGAAGAGTGGGAAACAGATAGGAGACGAGTGGAGGGACGGAGAAAGTGTGGATCATCGCGTTGTCTCCAGATGCGAAGAAAATGGTTAGCGGGAGTATGGATGGTGGAGTGATGTTGCAGTGGGACATGGACACAGGTAAAGTCGTCGCGAAATGGTTTGGGCATAGAGAGGGAGTGAGGACTGTCTGCTGGAGTCGAGATGGTCAGTCTTGGACGGATCTGGGGATAGAACTGCAAGACAAAGGGATATAGAGAACGGAGAGACAATGCTTGGTCCAATCAAAACTGGGCATGAATACGTACTCGGTCGTTTACTCGCCAGACATGACCATGTTTGCGAGTGGTGGATTCGAACAGCCTTGGAATAACACTGAAAATAACAAGGCCCCTATCAAAATCTGGGATGCGAAGACCGGCGAGCTTGACGCAACTCTCAATGGACACACAGACGCAGTGGTGTGCCTGGCTTGGACCCTAGATGAAAAAACACTTATCTCCGGGTTAAACGATCACTCAATTAGAAAATGGAATACTTCAAACTGGAAACAGATCGCTGTGCTTAATGGGCACACTGAGAGTGTCTATGGCATTGCAATATCTCCGAATAGCCGCATCCTTGCAAGCGCATCAAGGGACAAGACAGCGCGATTATGGAACCTCGATAACAACCAGTCAATCAGCTCGCCCCTCCACCATGCAGATGCGGTGTTTTCTGTATCGTTTTCGGCAGATGGAAAGCTACTAGCCACCAGCTGCTATAACAAAAACGCGTACACTTGGGATGTTTCTGCCATCTTAAGAGAAGCTGGCTTCGACGAACTCCTGTTGGACGAGCATGACAGGTCGGTATTCGCTGTACGTGACATCTTCGTCGCAGATCTCATTGCATTTAAACATGTGCATTCTAGGCTGATACTACACGACGTCCAGTCCGTCAGCCAACCAAGGTCTCCAATCGGGTACCCCAAGGATTTTTCAATGGCACACCACATCGTGCTCACGTGCGTCACTCATCGCTCATTTACATTGTACTGTTTTTCCTGACCTCCATGTTCTCAGTCTTCTGCACGACTCTGTCCTCACGATACGTCATCACGACCCCGCCTTTTTCACTGGGTTCGAAACTTTTTTTCTGGCAGACCGGGTGGTGCAGAGATTGAGCCGGGCAAGCATCACTCAGCAATTGTCGGCGTTCCACATTGCCAGGCCCAACGTGTATGTCATTTTCGTCCTTCCCCGACGTTCGAATCCCATCTCATGCCACACAGAGGAACGCGTCAGCAAGAGAAAAACGCAGGTCAATCCCGAAAAAGGCTGCTGCGAGTAGTTCACGCCCTCCCAACAGCAACGTCACGCAGCAATCCAGTAGTGCGGCTCGGGTCCAGTCATCTTCACAACCACAGGGTGCTACCTCTACGTCATTGCCCACACCTCCGGTCGTCATTACTCCCGAAGCTACAGCTTCCAGCACTAATCCTCATGTAACGATTAAACATGCTGGACGCTGGACTCGATTTTGGCTCTTTATCTGTTGCGCCTCTATTGAGTATTCCGACGGTCATCATTAATGTACTATTCTCTCGACCTTTACTGCGATCTCATCCATCTCATCGATGTTCATGGAATATTGGAAACATAAACATAATGTTGTTGATTGATACCCCGTTATTTGTAGTTGGCGATAAGGTTCAAACGTCATCACGATACCGAACTCTGGATAGAAAGATATACAGTTGCCCATGCCCTTTGAAACCATCTTACGAGGCCAGTGTGTGAATAATAAATGTCTTGAAGCTTCATCTTGCGCAGGTTCGAATTGACAAGCTTTTCTCTGTACTTTTTCTCGGCTTCCGGCTGTTTGATATTGTGTCTTGATGGTGTCTTTGATGATACCGTCTTCACACTTTCGGCCACGTTATCATGGAAATGTAGTTCCTCTCTAAATCCCACTACAGAACATGTACATACTGTTGGGTCGCAAGCCAACCTCCGCGTTCACGCATAGTGGGGGGATCGCTCCTCATAGCTCCCCGTGCGTTGCAAAACGTTTTATTCCATAAAGTCTGCTCGAATCTTACGATTGGACGTACATATGTGATTCATACATTGCCTAAGGTAGCCGTAGATATCCTGTGCGGTTCAAACTGTAAATCAGAAAGGCAGAAGATATCTTTATTCCTCTGGTCCGCATCGCGCAGATCAAAAAGAATTCGTGAAGCTATAACACCATGAAGAACACCTTGAAACCTGATTCTGATAGTTGAGCAGTAAACTCAGATATGAGGGCTGTTGACTTACACATCGATGATGCCACTGTACCCGTTCGGGACCTGCACCGATAAACAGTCCATACCTAGCCATGGTAGAGTGTATAGAAACTACGTACCTGCAAGGAAAAAAAAACAATGTTTGCAACAGAGATTGCTTTGAGCGCAGTCAGATGGCATGGAGAGGAATTCATAAACATACGAATGACATACCAAAAAGCGACAGCGCATATACCAAACTCCCCTTCGATAAGGTCGGGGCTAGTTTATAGAGGGTGTACATGTCATCAGAGCGTAATTGAATTGAATGATACACTGTGATAGCAGCCACCGCTGCACATCTTTCATCAGGAGATTCAAAGAAAGGCAGCGTCCTGAATCACTCACTGAGCTCAAACAACGCTGTACTGACAAATCCTCCCATTACCAGGCGCTCCAATTTGGTGGCAACGTTTAGATCGCTCTGAGTTGATGTGGGCACACATGCGCTTTCGAGAAGAGGCGTCGTAATTGCACCACAAATGACTGTGGAGATGGCAGTAGACCTTCAAGCTCCATTGAATCACTCATCAGGACAACAAACTGGCGAAACATTACCAAGTAGCTTGCCCATAAAAACCGCTTTATCTTCCTATTGTCGTGCCATAAAGCAAGTGTACGCATGAGAAGCAGGCCTGAAATACATAAATCCTGCAGATCTTCGTCATAGACGCAAAAGCTTGCCTTCAGCAGCTAACATGATGAGAAGCAAGGACACTGGAAAGTATTAGGTAATGTGGGACTAGTAATCGTGAGGTGACCTACCTCCAGCAGTCCGGTATGTAGTCAAGCACTGTATTGCCTGGCATTAACATGTTTTAAGCATGGTTAAGAAAGAGTTAATACCATTTGTAGTGATTGTGGCCCAAGAGTGACTGGCAGCCCGATAAGAACATGTCCCCAAACTAAAAAAATGGTGCAAGTTGCTCACCGTATATTTTCGCTGATAATCCACACTATCGGAACATATCTAGCTACGATGAACATGACAGTCGTAATGTTCCAACGACCCATCTTGCTAAATAGACGGACTTCATGTTCAAGGGTCAGACAATAATCGAGTGCCTTGTGATGTGAATCAGATTTCGTCTCGATTGCGAGGAGAGTATGCGTTTAACTCACCCAAACAGCAGCGGTGCAACTTTGCTAGGAATTTGAGCACGCCGGAATAGAACGAATAAGGGAGACAAACGACAAACCTCGAAAATACTGCAAACAAAGCACGGAAATTATTTCAAAATTGGAAGATCGAATGCCACGTAGCTCGTACCTTGATCGTCTGCTGTGTGTGCAGTAAAACCATATGGCGTTTTGTGTTATTGTGGAGTGCGTGGGCGTCAATATTTCACCGTTTGGTGGGCGATGGTGGAAGGACAAGTCTTTTTGAAGGAAATTTGGATTGAAACACGCAGCCCGAGCCCTAGAAGAAGTTAGTCTTATCATCAGGCGACGGGAGAATTCTATAAGTGTTGCCATGTGCTGCATTGCTACTGGCTATTGTCACTTGAAATCACACACCGTACGTAAACTATCTATACTCATTACCGTACTTACGGTTGATCCATGAGTGACCTGCATTTAATGCATCACAAACTCACTGCTGGCATGAGGTAATACACTATAAAGTGCAAGTCGCATGTATCAAGTTTCAAGCATGGCTGTGTCGCAGGTGGAACACGGTGCGCGCAACCTGCGGCGGTGAATATCGATTGCAACGCTACGAGAGATCACGATGGACGAGTTAATGTTAGCTGGGAAAATAACATGCCAGCATATGCAGTATGAAGTTGATCATAAATGAGGCTTGGGAGCTTCAGCTGCACATGATATGCTCTAAGCTGTGGAGATAACACATGTAAAACGTACTTCCAGTGCAGTCTTGACCTATGCGCCCATTGTGTCTCGGCAATCGTCGCAAGTGATCATCGTGGACTCTGTGCATGAGAGGGGCCGCCCGAGCTGAAACGGAACTGCATCCAGTAGTTGATGATGTCTTCAGCAGTGCAGGAGACATCAGATAAAACGCCCTGCCAGGAATTTGAGGGACGCACTAATTCGGTTACGGCGCCATACATCTGCCAGGTGGACGGCAGATAATGACTTGCTCAGTAGACGATTCGCTGCGAGTATGGAACTTGAGGAGCGGGAAACAGATATGAGATGAGTGGAGGGACGGATACAGTTCAGTATGGACCATAGCATTGTCTCCGAACGGAAAGAAAGTGGTTAGCGGGAGTGAATATGGTGGAATGAGGT